GCAGACCCTTTAATTGTTTCACAGAGAGACTGGGAAGGAGATTCCTTGTAGATGGCCCGGTGCCAAAGAGTCGAGGGTTGGGGCAGAGGTCTCAAGTGCTCTGGGTCTGGAGGACGGATTCTCAGCACAGAACTAGAGGCAGGAGAGGAGGAGGGTGGGGCAGGAGGAAGGAGGGAGGGCAGGGTGAGCAGTGAGAGGAGTCCGGGTATGAGAGCCCCTATCCCAGTGTCTCAGTGGCGGAATGCTCCCAGCTGGCCCGCTCAGCCCATCATCTCAGGAATGTCTCAGCTCCACCTCGGAGCCGAACTGGGGCCCGCGGTGGGGCCGGTGCACGGTGTGGTTGCGGATGCTGAAGAGCCGCTGGGTGAGGCCCAAGGTGGCCACCAACAGGGCGATGCCCAGGAAGAGCAGCACCCACTGGCCCACACGGGCCTGCTGCTCCTCTAGGTTCAGGCCCAGGAAGTTGACTCGGCCATTGCCCAGGTAGGAGCCTTCTGTGCGAGCTGAGCAGGAGAAGCAAGGAAAGCAGGGCGGTGGGCAGGGCAGAGGGCAGGGCAGGGCGGCGGGCAGGGGCTGGGCAGGGGGCATTGCGGCCGGCTTCCCTAGGCTGCTCTAGGCAGGGGCTGGGGTGGGGCCACCGGGGCAGAGGAGGGGGGTGCTGGTACCAGAGTCCGGAGTCCAGTTGTACTGAGGCCAGCCCAGCTGCTCCGCGTGCCTGCCGTTCTCGATGAGGAGCCAGTCCAGCAGCGGCTTGAAGTAGTTCATGATGGCCGAGGCCGACATGTTGGGCTGGCCCGTGATCAGCTTCATGGCTTCGGGCCATGGCTTACTGTAGCCCAGCTTCATGGCGTCCCTGGGCAGCACCAGCGAAGGGACACCGAGTCAGAGGACTGGTGGGGAGGCTCACTGCCCCTCCTGCCTCAGCCTAGCTCCCCTCTCCCCACCTCAACAGCGGGGCTAGGCGAGGGGTGGCCTGGGCCCAGGAGGCTCTGGTTCCCTCCGGGGGAGGGCTCATCACCACTCATAGGCTCCACCTGGGAGTTCCCAGCCCAAGCACCAAACGGCAGGTGTTCCCAGAAGAGTCCCACGGGCTCCTCGAGGCTGAGGGGTCAGAGGGCAGAGAACACCACAGGAAGCCCAGGGCAGACTCACGCCAGGCGCTTCCCTGCCTCCTTGGACTGGTAGATGTCACACTGGTGCAGGGGGCCCTTGTGGCCAGCCGCCTGACACAGCGCCTCATGGAACTGGAACTGGATGATGAAGCCCACGAAGTACCTGGAGGAGAGGGAGGCGTGGCTGGGGGGAGGAGCCTGTGCCCCAGCCCCTGATACCCAGCCAGGGTGTCAGGGTGAACCCAGCCTGGCCTTCAGCGTCATCCAGGCCCCCTTCACTTGTGGGTGAGGAGGGTCAGGGCAGGCTGCTTTAGACAGCGAGGTCTCCGTCCCCGGGGTATGTGCAAGTAGAGGCCAGGGTCACATCTGTCTGGCAGGGCTCTGAGCAGGGCAGCCAGCCCAGTGATCTCCTTGATCCCAAAGCAGCAGGGAGTCCCTGGTAGAAACCAGCTGGTCAAGGCTGGAGCCACCTCTAAGTCTGCAGGGATTCTGAATGTCCCAAACAAACAACACAGGCCTCCCACTTTGAATGCTGGGCACAAGCCATGTGCCACTGACTTTCCTGGTGTTTCCTAAAAGTGCTTTGCCAAAGCTGCTGGTCAGAATCGGGAATGAGTCTCCTTCGCCCAGCCCTGCCTGGAGAATTATCTATGCTAAGCTTGGAAGCTAACCACGTGGGCCTGGCTTCTGTGTGAAAGTGAATGCCAGCTTGGAAGTCTGGAAACCAGTGGAGAAGGCGGGTGGAAGCCCTCCCTACGGGTCATCCTGGCACCCTGTCAAGGTCAGGCCTGTTCCCAGGTGTCCTTGAATCTCCTCGGTCCCCTGCCCACTGCTGCTCTCTGGAGCATCTGAGCAGGCTCCTTCCCTTGCTGGACCCTGGGGGACTTCACCATTCACCCACTCCACACTTAATTAGACCTTGACTCTGTGCTGACGTCATGCTGGCTGCTGGGGTGGAAAGGCGGGCACAGTGGGCCCTCCGTCAGTGGGCTTCCAGGGACCATCGGAGGCAGGTCTGGAGGAGGCACAGCCCTCCTGGGCAGCCCTCACAGCCCTCTGCGCCTTGCCTCATGGTGGCCTGTGCTGCCTGCGGTCCAGGGCACCTGGAACTCCACCCGAGGCCTCCCCAGACCCCTGCCGCCCAAGAGGACTCCAGATCCTGCAGTTACCCACTTAGCCCGTATACAGAGAGGGAAAGGGCTGCCCCGGACACCTTCGTGCTGCTGCGGCAGACTTGTTGCGCCAGTGGGTTTACACCTGGCACGTCAGAGGGCAATTTAATAATGGGGGGTTATGGCCACCATTTCCCCAGCCTGCTCTGCATTCGACAGTATGCTTGGAAGTTCACTTTTGTCACAATCCTGTGAAATCCCATTTCACAGGTGAGGAAATGATGTAGACACCGAGGAACATACTTAAGGAAAAAAAAAGAGTGGGGACAAGATTTGAACCCAGTTCTGTCTGACTCCAAGCCCAGGACTCCATACCTCTACCAACACAGCCTCCCAATCTAACTGGGTCTCTACTCCTAGTTTTAGTGTATAGAAGGTCTTCCAGGAACAACTCACATTATATCACAGGCAATATGTTCACTATATAAAGTAAAGGAATCACAATCTTGTCAAGAACAAAACCAGAGGAGCAGTGCTCATGGGTCACAGTTAGTAATGTTAACTACCCAACCCAGGTCTTGTAACCATCAACCAGTTATAGTAGAATTTCTGTTTTCAACTGTGTGCAGGGTAGAAGCTCTCAACATATAAAAAAAGTGAAACGACGGTCAGCCCTGGTTGCAGGTGAGTGGCTCAGGCACACTGTCCAGTGCAGGCAGATCTCCCAGGTCGCCCTGACCTCACGTGGCAGCGACAGCAGTTTGGACACTGAGCGGCCTCCTCCCTTTCCCTTGTTACCTGATGTAAGGCACACTTGAAGGAATGTGGAACTTGGCCCCTGGGTCAAAGTCGCCTTGAGACCTGGTCACTGGCGGACAGAGGCCCTGGTACTTCAGCCTGTCAAGGTGGAAGACAGATTGGAGAAAGGGTATGGGGGAGAATCAAGCCAGGGAGGGTTGGCATTTTTGACTTGAAGGATGGTCTCTGCACCTGGGGCTGCCCTGGGCATTGCAGACTCCAGCGTGCACTGTCTCTGTGCACAATCACCCCTACGTATCCCATCACGTACACACAAAGACCCAGGTATGCATGTACACACACAAATGCACACTTAGATGCTATATACACAGACACACAGGAACACACAGACACCCATGGAGACGCCCCCAACCTACACCCCCACAGGAATGTTCTAGAACCTGAGGCTCCACCACTCCTGGTTGTAGTTCTCCTTGGTGATGCCTCCATCAAACACCCTCCAGCGCCACTGGTCAATGAGGTAGCTGAAGGGGATAAAGGCGACCTTGTCGAGTGCTGTCTTCATCAGAAAGTTGATATCTTGCTCTGCCAAGGAAAGGGATTCCAAATCAGATCCTCACCTGCATCCTGCCATGTCCTAGCAGCTCGGCTGTGATGGGTGTGCAAAGGGTGGCGAGGGAAGGAGTGCGCTGTACCTATCTGGCTCCTGTGACCTGCCTCTTGGCATGGTCTGTGGGTTCCATCCTGCTGGCTTACCCTGCTGGGGGCCTTCTTTTTCCCCATTGCTCTGTCCCAGCCTCTGCCTATGGGCCATTAAGTCCCCTCTCCCCACCTCACAAGCTCACTGCCCCTTCCTGGTCCCTCAGCCCACCAGGATCTCCTGTTCTTCTCTTACCGTAGCTGCCACCATCGCTATTCATCAGGTTGATGCTGTGTAGGTGCTTGGGGGTAGACACGGAGAGGGCCAGCACATCCCCAATGGCTTCGTGAAAGCCAGGGTTGGCACCCTCCCGGAAGGTCACAGGCAAGTGCTTGTACTGCATGAAATACTGTATGTGGCCCATTTCATGGTGGGCCACCACCAGGTCCTCCATGCTCACAGTGGTACACTGCTTGATCCTGGGAACATGGGGATGGGGAGAGGGTGTGAAAGGGGACAGCAAGGAGCCCTGAGGCAAAGGGACCTGCTGTTCTTATTGCAAACAGACCCCCACCACTGCTGTAAGCAGGGAACACAGCATTATGGGAAAGAAAACCAAGAGGAGATCCGGAGTGAATATGAGGAAGAGGGAATCTGGGGGTTGGAAGCCCCTAGAGTATAGTCACTCAGGACATTCCTCCGCCTCCAACTTTTGTGAATAACTCCAGCCCACATGGCCATGTTGCTTTCTGACTGTGCAAAGTAGTTGCTCTAGAGGCATTGGGACACTCCTTTATGGTCAGTGTAGGACTTTCTAGAATGTGGTTTCTGATTTCTCATGCACATGTTTTTGCTCTCCCTAAAGGAAACACCAGTGTCTGAGCTGTTCTGTATCTCATGTACCCAACACCAGCAAACATATTTACGACTTTTTATGGCCAGGACTGAAATGACATCTGCAGCGCCGTCCAAGCCAGAGGTTCCACCTTTCTCCACCTTTCCTCATTCTCTTTTGTGAGCCAATGAAATTCTCCCTTGGATCTAAGCCGAGCCTTTCAGGTCAGTTTTTTCTGCCATTCTATTGGGAAGGGGAAGAGCTGCCCAGCATCTTGGTGACAATGAGGCTTGCATTTGTCCACCTTCTCCTATGACTCCCATATAAGGGAGGAGCCCTAAAAGCGCTCCGACCTCTTCTCATGACTTTGAAGGAAAGACCCAAGGCCAGTGATCCTGTGAACGCTCTCTGTGTCCACTTTTCTCATAAGAGACACTTCATCTGCTGTCACAGATCATTTTTGCCACTTTCCCTCCCAAGAAGTGGGGTCTTCTTTCCCTTCTCTTCAATCTAGGTTGGCCTTGCTTTAGCTAATAGAATCTGTGCTTGCTTTGGACTTAAGCGTTAAAAGACCTGGCTGTTTCTGCTTTTGCTTTGGGGGATGCCAGCTACCAGGTAAGAAATCCTATTGCCTGACTGCCATACTGTGAGGAAGCCCAAGCTAGCATGGAGAGAGAAATCACCCACCAGCCCCCAGCTGTCCAGTCATCCCGACCCAGGGACTCAACGTGTGAGTAAAAAGCCAGCTTGAACGTTCCAGCCCCAGCAAGTGCCACATGGAGAAAAACTGGGGAACCAAACCAATAGCTAAAACCAAGGCCACAGACAGATGGCCTCATTGAGCCACTCCAGCCATCTCCAGCCATCAGAGCTACCCTAGCTGAGGTCTCCATCGTTGCAGAACAGGGACAAACCATTTCCACTGTGTTGCCTGACCGATGAAATCATGAGAATAATCAAATTGTTGTTTTATACCGCTAAGTGTTGAGGTGGTTTGTTATATAGCAACAGATAATTGAAACATCCTCTGATGAAGATAGCTTCTGAGCCTCAGTGAAGGTGGATCTGTGTGAAGTCACCCATGTCCTCATGTGTCTCCCTGTGTCAAGGCACATGCACCCAAGGAGAGGGCTATCTGTATGCAGGGGCCTCCCCAGAGTGAGGGAAGGCTGGGCAGCTCACCCCCAGGACTGGGATCTTGGGTACTGATGGCTGACCAGGCTGGCAGAGCTGGCTGGCATTTGAAAAGACCCTCACAGCCAGAAGCCAGTGACCAAGCTGAGGCCAGGGCCCATACTCTGGACCTTCCATCTCAACTCTGGCCTCTGCACCTGTTTCTGCTCGCTCTGGCTGGGAGGGCACGCAGTGGAGCCTTTACTTGGCTCGTCCCCTTGCCTATGGACTCAGGGTGAAGTCCCTTGGACGCACCTGAAGTCGTTGCCATTGAAGAAGTCCCAGGCAGAGGCATGGCACACCACCTCCCGCCCGTCGGTTGGCTTCTCCAGCATCGATTTGTTCCAGAAGTCGGGGGGCACGGGCAGCAGTCCCAAGGAGATGAAGAAATTGTTTGCTTCCTCAAACATCCTTCTGGGAGTCCAGCCCTGCAAACCAAGGGAGCTCTGCCCAAATTGGGGACAGACTGTGTGCCCCAGCGGGGGAGGGAGCTGGGAGAGGGCCAAGCTGAAGGAATGGGCTCAAAGGGCCCGCCCCCCAGGGCAGGGCCTTCCCTCCCCTGTGCCCTGGGCCCCTCTGGGGGAGCAAGAGTGTCCAGAGAGGACAGGTGCAAACCTGCTTTATCATGGCCTCTGTGGCATCCATCTTGGGGGCTGAAGGGAAGGGAACCACCAAGTCATAGATGTTGGACCAGGTCTGTGCCCACATGTTCCCTGGAGACGGGTAGGGGAAGAGACAGGAGAGATAGATGTTACTTCTTAGGCTCAGCACCATCATGCTGGGAGAGGGACGTAGATCCCAGTCTTGCTGATCGTAATGTATCTCTTCAGTTCCTACTGTTTGCAAATTGTGCTGGGCATCTGACATTCATTATCTTCAGTCCAGCCCACTTTCCTGGCTCATGGGTGAGATCCTTGTGGCCATCAAGGAGTCAAGGTGGTCCTGTGACCAGTGAAGACCAGTGTCACTAGCAACTGTGTACAAATGCAGAAGTTTTGGAACATCTACATGCACGTGGCCACCACTGAGAGTCAAGTCCCATGGCTCCTAAGGGAAGGGGCTAGGGCTTAAAGGCAGGCAGGCAGGCTGCACTCCTGGCCAGCCACTACTGCATCCCCTCCACGTTGTCTGAGGTTGGTTTATGTGGTCCCACCCGCCTTCAGGAGAGGTTGATGCCTTTGCCCTTAGGACACGAGAGGACTGGAGAAAAGGAGATATTCAGAATGCATGGAAAGGTCCAGAATCGTTCACAGACGAAAGAGATTAAGCTTGAGCTGACATGAGGTGGAGTCTGAAGTACAAAGTAGTGAGTGTCTTCCACTGCCTACTCCGTGTGGTAAGGGCATTGAATTTCCAACCCCTGAAGAGAGGGTCCGACAGTTGAGGTGGAGCTACACTCCCAGTGTTCTCTGGTCTCCTAACTCCCTGAGACTGAACGCTGTGTCTGCCTTCGCCTCCCTGCCACTACTTTCTCCACCTGCCAGAGCGCCTCTCCTATCAAGGCTGCGCTTACACGCCACCCCTTGGACAGGCCTCAGCTCTGCCCACAGCCCCTTCCTCACCCTCTGTATCACGCTGCCTTAAGCTGTGATGGGTAATGTGGGCTTCTGTGGCAAGATCATGAATTGCCCCCCCGCCCCCCCCACCGTCCCATTCATGGGACTTGCACCATGTGTATCTGTAGCAAATATGATACCAAAGGCAAGCAGGCGCTCTTCTCCCCAGTGCTACCCCCAACCACCACTCAGCCTTGGCAACATTTCCTCCAGGCTCAATCCTTTTGCTCTCCCAGCCTGCAGCGCCCGCTGCAGACCTTCCCCTGCCTGCCCTCCGCTCTCTGGCCAGCTCTGGCCCCACCCTCCCTCACACTGGCATCTGTCTTGTCTCCTCCTAAAGGCCCAGCGCCTGCCCTTACCCAGCAGATGAGCCGGAATGGGGCCCTCCAGGTTGATGTGCTGGGGCCCGTAGTGGCGGTGCAGCGCCCGGCGCACGTAGGCGTGCAGGTTCAGGTAGAGCGGCTGCAGCTCCTGGAAGAGACGCTCCAGGTCTTGCTCCAGAGTTGGCATCTCGTACATAGATCTCCACGAGTCCCCTGTGTCTGCATAGCCTGCAGAGGGGACAGAGCCAGGCTCTCCGACACCTGACCATCCCCTGAGCACCCCCGCCACCACCACCTCCTCAAGGACCTTCGTCTCATCGGGTTTAGGGTCTCCGAGGACCTCTCTCAGGGCCCCAGTGGGGCTGGGACCAGAAAGCCAGTGATATTGGTAGGAGGGACTCACCATTGAGCCGGGCAGCCTTGTTGGAGAGCTCCACATATTTGGGGAAAAAGGGGAGGATGGATCTTCCCACCTTGTCTCGCCAGCTCTTCCACGCCCATAACAGTTCTTCATATTTCCGGGATGTGGCCATCAGATTGGTCAGATCTGGGGGAGGGGGTGTTCACTGGCTTGAGTCCCCAGCCCTCGGCGCACCTCCCACCTCCTGCTAAGGTGGACTCAGCACAGGAGTTCAGAGCTGGAATACAGCTGCACAGGTGGCAAGGCTAGTGAACGGGAGGTAGGGTGGGCCCTCTCTAAGGGGCCTGCAGGCTGCCAGGCCCGGGGCGTCAGGCAATCGCAGGTTTCCAACGTGCTGTTTTCATATGAGCAGTGAGGTGACATGGCTGGGTCCTCGGCCGGGAAGTGGCCGAGCTGGGGCACAATCCAAAGGCCCAGACTCCAGGGCGGCTGCCCAGCCCCTGCCTGGGAGAAATGGCCTGGGGGTCACAAGACCCGAGCTCTTGTTCTAGTCTCTACTGACCCCAGATTACCTTGCAAGTCTCGGGACCCCTTTCCCTATCTCCAAAGTGGGGGTAATGCCGGCCCTCCCAGGGGAGCCAAAACTCAGACGTGAGGCCCCCGAGCAGGGAGTGTCCGTCATTCCTTTCTGTGTCTCCACGGGGCTCAGGGCATCTTTCAAACTGTAATTGAACTGGATTAAATAAAAAAATAGCATCGTCAGGGAGCCAGAAGTCCGGGTTGTGTCCTGTCAAAGCCACGGTGACTCCTTGATACGGATTGCATGGAGCTGACATCCGTGTCAGAGCCGGCGGGTCAGTTCCGCAGCCCCACTCAGACCGACGCTGGCCTCCCTCCCTGCCCTGCCCGAGCTGGACGACTTTGGACAGCGTGTAGGGCTGTCCACACCACATTTTGTTTATAAAAAATTGTATTTTGAGAATTTTACGTCTGCCCTCTGCTGATGTGAGTGTTCTGTGTTTGTGGATGTTTCATATTTTTACTAATGACAGTGACCTGAGGACCTAGCCCTGGATTAAGAGGTTAATCCATGGGCGGTGGGGAGGACTAGAGCTACATTCCCTTTAATGCTCTTCTCCGTAAACACACGCAGACACATACGCTGCACACATGCACACGGCACATACCCCTCCAATACTTTGCGTGCCTACCCATATACACAACCGGTAGGCCAAACCCTGTCCACGAACGCTATTTCTCTCTCCTGTTTACTTTCCATTTCCCCTTCTATTTGTCATTGTTCTAACGTGGGAGTTGGGCAGAGGGCCAGGAAGAGACTGTTTCTGGGTGGAGATTCCTTAGAAATAATGTTTATGCCTTTGTCTCCCCAACCCTGGAAGGGTGAGCCAGAAGGGGAGGGGTGTGTCCATCTGGTGTAGGTACGTGGGTGTCCAGGGTGAGCTCTTCCAAAGGGGAGAAGGTAAGAAGGACCCGCCAGTGTGGCCAGAGAAAGGGACAAGCAACCATCAGTCCACTCTTTCCAGCAGGAAGTGGCGGTGGAGGGAGTGAAGTGGGAACAGCCTGGATCATGGAAGCGGTTTCTAGGGGGGGTGGGTGCGGGCAAGGGAGGTGCCAGACAAGGTGGGGAAGCCGTGGAAAGGATCAAGAAAGGAGCACGAAGGGGAGGTGTCTAGAGTTCCTGTTCTGATTTGGGAGTCCGAGTCCTGGGAAGACAAGTTTGAGAGACTCCCTGCTGGGAGTGCAGGGAACAGGGAGAGAAAGGAGATCCCAGAGGGGTCCTGGCCTGGTGGGAGCCGGTGGGCGGGCAAGGCAGTGGCTTAGGGCCGAGAGGAAGGCGGTGCTGGTTCTGAGTGGTGGCAGGGAGGCCCCACTGGTGGGAAACAGGGCGGTGAGTGTCCTGGGCATGCTGACCCCACCAGATAGGAGCACCTAAACATCTTTTCACCGGCAAGCACCCCAACACTGCGCCAACCCCAGCCCCCCCACCCCGAAACCCTCCCTCTCCTTCCCCATGTGCGCTCACTAGGCTCCAGCTGCAGACAAGTGCCGTTGGGGAGGCACACGGAGGCCACGCTGTAAGTGGTTTCCATGGTCAGCAGGATCTGGTTATACTGCGGGAGGAAGAAGAGAGGCAGCGAGCTGCACCCCTTTGCTGCCTGCGCCGCCCGGCACCATCACAGTGTGTGTGTGTGTGTGGGGGGGTAGGCGGCAATGGACCTGGGGGCGCCTGGTCCCAAAGATGCTAACTTCTCAGTTACTCTGTAGACGCACTGACAAGGCAGATGGTACGGCTTGACAAATCCAGGAAGAGCGGCAGCATAAAGGCCAGACCCTGTACGAGGCTCACTCTGAGCTGGGACCTGGTCCTGACCTGGGACCCTCCACTCCCTGCCCTCTCCCCGCCTCCCACCCACTCCCCAAGCTACACATACCTCCTCCAGCTCCGAGGTAGGCAGCGCTGCCCGCTCTAGGTCCTGAATCTTGTACATCATCCGCTTTAGGGTGGTGTTTTGGAAGTAGGTAATGTCAAAATGCCTGGCCCGGGTGCCAAACTCTACGGTGTGGTTTGCCATCTGTGTGTTCTTCTCCATCTGAAGGTACAGGGGGAACCGTGCTGTGGGGGGAGCCAAAGGGACTGGGGGTGGTAGTAGGGAGGGCAGTTTTATCAAGTTGTTGCCTTTGCCTATAAAGACCCACTCCAACCTGGACTGTCTATTGCCCTAGATGCAGTCCATGCCCCTCAACAGATGCCCACAGGCACATCCTGGCACGGGAGAGAAGGGGAACCCCACCCCGTATCGTAAAGGCTGTTGGGATGAAGGTAGCTTGGTGTTAGCGCTGTGACTGGCCCCCCCGAGCCTCAGGGTCCCATCTGTAAAATGGGAACAAGATCACTGGTTTTGCAAGGCTGTTGAGGAATAAATGAAGCCACAGATGTGAAGGGCACGGAACCCTGGCCAGCTCACAATGGTCTTCAAGAAATGTTGGTTCTCTGTGGCTCACCTTGGGATAATCTGCACTCCCCACGCAAGTCGGGAAGGGGGCTGGAGGGAAGGGTAGCCCTGGCTGTGGTAGCAAACAGGGGCTTTGCATCTTTTAGAAAACTGACTTTATGCCGAAACCGGTTTGGGTCAGTGGATGGAGCGTCGGCCTGCGGACTGAAGGGTCCCAGGTTCGATTCCGGTCAAGGGCATGTACCTGGGTTGCGGTCACATCCCCAGTGGGAGATGTGCAGGAGGCAGCTGATCGATGTTTCTCTCTCATCGATGTTTCTGACTCTCTATCTCTCTCCCTTCCTCTCTGTGAAAAATCAATAAAATATATTAAAAAAAAGAAAACTGACTTTAGCATCACTTATTTGTGTACAAATTATTCTTTCAGTAACAACAGATTGGTAAGAGTTACAACTTGTTTAGGCGTTGAGTATCGACCCATCCAAACCTGAAAATGAGTATAGTTTTAAATATTCCATCTGGATTTTTCACAAATTGCGGCAGCCTCCTTGCACTGAGGGGACCCAGGGGAGACGGGGAGGGGGCCTTGCCCTGGTTTGCGTTTTGGAAGGCCAGCCCCTGCGCACCAGTGTGGGCGTGGAGTGGGCCCCTACCAGGATCATGCTGGTCTCTTTGCTGATGTTGGTGTTGTAGTTCCAGTTGGCCTCCGCATATTCATTCCACACCACCAGGGATTTCTTGTCATAGGCCTCCAAAAAGTCTCTGGCCGTCACTTCATCCGTCACCAAAACTGTGGGACAGAGCAGAGGGAGACAGCCCGGCTTCCCCGTGCCCTCTCCTGGAGTTGTGCTGAGTCGCTCCCCCGCCTCCCTCCTCCCTGCCCCCTCCTCGCCCCCTCAAGGCCCTGCCCCATCCACCCACTGGTCCCGCTTGGGCTGTGGGTTGTCTGGCTGCTGGTTGCTGCCTGGTGAGTTGCTGTCTGGTTTCTGGTTGTTCCATGGTTGGTTGTCACCTGGGTGACCTCCTGGCTGAGGACCACCAGCAGGGGGTGCCCAAAGCAGAGCAGGAAGAGGAAGAGGAGGCTGGGCAGTCCTGGAGCAGCCCAACCTTGGCCCATGGCCGCAGGAGACCAGAGCCCTGCAGCCACCGCCCCCGGCCAATAAGAGCGGAACCTGCAGTGTGACCTCATAGAGCAGTGTGATGCGTCAGCCTGCCTCTGGGGGACCCTCGGGGGGCAGGAAACCCTCTCTAAAATGCTGGAGGAAAGACGGCCCCATTTCCACCCTAGGGCCCTACTGATGAGTGAAGGGGAGGCCTGGCCCTCCAGAGCTGGGCACCGGGGCCCCGCGGGGGGAGCTGACCGGGAACTGGAACAGGGGCCTGGCCTCCAGAGCCCAGAATGGAGAATGTGCCTTGAGGCCTGCCCCACTCTCACTCAGAGCTTTACCAACGTTGTCTGGGTAATTGTTGGGCAACGGAGGCTGCCACTGAAACTCTGGCCAGCCCAGGACCTCGCCGTTCCGCTGGTTCTGCTCCTGCAGCCACTGGCTGACTGGCTGGAAGTAGTTGAGCAGCGGCTGAGCGTCCAGGGCGTCTGTGCCGATCGCTTCCTTCAGCACCTCCTGCCAGGGCCGCGAGGAGCCCACCTGCATCACCTTCCTGCCAGGCAGAACGGGCACCATGGACACAAGGGACTCAGGCCAGTGTCCGCTATTGGCCCACCTGCCCCACCTCCGGCCACTTTTGCCCCCACTGGACTGCAAGAACAGTGGCATCAAGACTCTGGGACAGCTGTGGGCAAACTACGGCCTGCGGGCCGGATGCGGCCCGTTTGAAATGAATAAAACTAAAAAAAAAAAAAAAAAAAAAAAAAGACCGTACCCTTTTATGTAATGATGTTTACTTTGAATTTATATTAGTTCACACAAACACTCCATCCGTGCTTTTGTTCCGGCCCTCCGGTCCAGTTTAAGAACCCATTGTGGCCCTCGAGTCAAAAAGTTTGCCCACCCCTGCTCTGGGACCTAGGATCTCCATGAAGGGGGCTGGGGACATTGCCGGTGGGGCCTCAGATCTGGGCACACTGAATACATATTTGATGCGAGACAGAAAGCAGGGGGTAGGGAAGACAGGCGCCGCCCAATCAGGCTGGCCCTGAGGGGTCCCGTGGAGCAGCCAGTTGCCTTCCAGACATACCCTTCGCCAGCCTCTCCTCTAACCCTCCCACTCGCCCGCCATTTCCTCCCACACACCGGAGCGTGTCCCCCGCCTTGGTGGACTGGTAGATGTCACACTGGTGCAGTGGGCCCTGGTGGCCTGCCTCCTTGCACAGGGCTTGATGGAACTGGAACTGCAGGATAAAACTCACAAAGTACCTGAAGGCACAGGGTGGGTGTTCAGGGGGCTGGTGAGGGCCCCTTGCCCAGGCACCATCCAGCTTCCCACAGGGCAGAGGGGAGACAGGGCCACCTGGGGAGAAGGGAGAACCAAGCCTGGCTCTGGGGAGGGGCCCATTCGAATTCCAGGAAAGAATGTGGGGACAAGCCCTGGGCATGGGATGGGGCCGGAACCCCAGGAGTAGAGGGAAGGGGACGAAAGGTGGGACAGGATTGGGTGGGGCAGCAGTACCTGATGTACGGTGTCATATGTGGGATGTGATACTTAGATCCGGCATCAAAGTGGGTTTCATTTCGGATAACTGGGGCACAGATGCCCTGATACTTGACTCTAGAAGAAAATGGTTAAATTACCTTAGGACCTAAGTGTTGCATATGGGCTGATTTAGACTTTGCAGACAAGGCTGCTAAGCAGGCATTCCTCCCCCCCAAACCCCCCATCCCCGGCCACCCCTTCCCCATCAGGTGAGCTGGGGAGGAAGGGCTCCTGGCGGAGGGAGTTTTCGGCAGGAAAGAAGAAAGCAGTGGGGAAAGGATAGAAACATCATTAGAGAGGAGGGCCTGGGACTGACCGAGGCAGGAGGCTCCTGCGTGCCCAGGAGGGGCGGCCATCAGGCCCTTCCTGATCCCCGTTCACTCACCGAAGATACCACCAGTCAGAGTTGTAGCGGGAAGGAGGGGTGCATCCACTAAAGACCGCCCAACGCCACTGGTCCACCAAGTAGCCGAAGGGCAGGAAGGCAATTTTTTCCAGTGCCATCTTTAACAAGTAATTGATGTCGCTTTCTGTTGGCAGATGAGAGGAGAGAGGTCGGAGGAGAAAAGGGAGTCCGGCTGGGACCAGGCGGGGCTGGGGAGGAGCCAGTGGGAGGGATGGCGGGGCAGAGGCAGAGAAGAGAGGACCAGCCTTGGAGACGATGGGCCCTGCTGGGCAGAGGGTCCTTGGGCAGAGTTGAGTTGGGCCTCAGGTGGATTCCCAAACGTGCCTGCCCCGAGCAGGGCAGCAGAAATGAGAAGGGCAGTTGGGAGCAGGCGCTAGCGGAGTCCTGCTGTGGGCGCTGTGGGGCTGGCTGGGGCCTCTACGCCCCCATACCTGACTTGGTCCAGCAGGCCAATTTTGTGCAGATGGACAGGAGTGGAGACAGAGAGCGCCAGCACATCCCCGATGGCCTCGTGGAAGCCAGGGTTGGCGCCTTGGCGCAGGGAGACAGGCTGGTCCTTGTACTGCAGGTAGTACTGGATGTGGCCCATCTCGTGGTGCACTGTGGACAGCTGCTCCATAGCCACCCGTGTGCACTGCTTGATCCTGGGGCAGGGGAAGGGCGAGGGTGAGGGCGAAGGACGGGGCAGCGCAGGGACCAGAGCAGGGGGAGAGGACTGCCCTGTGTGCTGCTGGTGGAAACGTACAGACGCCTGGCCCTGCCCCAGCCCACATCATTCCAAGGGGCAGAGCTGACTAACCGTGAAAGCTGCTGAGGGGGGCGGCCCAATGGCAGCCCTGGCATAGACCAGCCCCTTTGCCAGTGCTGGGCCTGGGAACGGGCTTCTCTGTGCCCAGGCTGCCTGCCTTTCCCGAAGCCCCAGACCCCTCCTGCCCGTGTCTAGACCTGAAGTCCTTCCTGTTGTAGAAGTCCCAGGCGGAGGCGTGGCACACCATCTCACGCCCGTCGTTTGGGTTCTCCAGCATGGACTCTGCCCAAAACTCAGGCGGCATGGGCAGGAGCCCCAGGGAGGTGAAGAACTCCTCCGCCACCCGGAACATGTGTGTGGCGTTCCAGCCCTGGGGGTGGGTGTGGGGACAGGTCAGGGGCCGGCTGCTGGGAGCTCACTGTGGCTGCCCCGGGTCAGGTCTGGGGTCGCCCACCCAGGTCAGCTCCCTGCCCGTGGAGGGTGTGTCTGCTCTGTGGCCTCTTCCCAGAGGCGCGGCCCCTAATAACCAGAGCAGATAAGCGAAGTAGACTCCTCACGCCCCACCAGTGGGGGCCTGCAGAGGGGGACGGGCACCTCCCCGAGGACATTCAGCCCAGCTTATCGCTGTACACACACTCAGGCTGCTGCTCTGTAGAAAGGGAGGGACCGAGTGTCCACCCAGCCGGTCCCCTGCACATGGCCCCTTCTCACCCCTCCCCCCTGTCTCCCTTCTGTTGCCTCCACCCTGGCCCAGGGTCACCATACCTGCTTCACCATAGTTTCGGTGACGTCGAGAGTGGGCTTGTCAGGGAAAGGCACCACCATGTTGTAGATGTTGTCCCAGCTCTGGGCCCACATGTCCCCTGGAGGAAGGAGGAGAGCCGGAGAGCTTGGCTCCTGCTCGGCCAGAGCCTGCTTCCCCCTGCCCGGCACTGGACCCCCCGGGCCCCCCGCAGCCAGACCCTGGGGCTGAGGACAGGAATCTCCACGTCAGTCCCATTCATAGTGCCAAGTGCTCTGGGTGCCCTAGTGCCAAGCAGGAGCCCAGGCAAGGCTGTCGGGCCCTTTCTGATGGTGCTGGGATCCCTGCCTTCCAGGCCGGAGGTGGGAACCTGGGGATGGCCTCCTGGGGCACAAACTATGATTCTTCTTCCTCCCCCTGGAGTCAAAGCCTCGGTGTGACTCCTGGCTCTGCCTTTGACTAGCCCTCTGCCCTCTGCCCTCTGCCCTCTGCCCTCTGCCCTCTGCCCTCTGCCAAATCACTCATGTGCCCCGAGCCTCAGGTCCCTGTCTGGACAGCAGGAGTGATGAGGAGGAGGATCTCCTGCTTTATGGTCGCGTTGGACGAACAGTGGGGTGCTCTAAAATGGGAGACGACGAGGACAATGCCTGGGACGTGTGGAGGCAAGGCCGGGTCCTTACCCAGCAGGTGAGCAGGGATGGGTCCCCTGAGGTTGATGTATCTGTCCCCGTAGCGTTGGTGCAGCTTGCGGCGGACGTAGGCATGGAGGTTCAGATAGAGGGGCTCTATTTGATGGAAGAGGTTCTCCAGATCCTCCACTAAGGTGGGCGACTCATACCAGGAGCGCCAGTAGTCCCCTGTGTCCGCGAAGCCTGGCAGGGGGTGGGGGGTGGGGTGCAGCTCAGGCCAGAGGCTCTGACACTCCGCCTCCCAGCATCCCTCTCTCCTGGCTCGGGGCCTGTGCCCCTGCCAGCTGGTGGAAAGGCTGGCTTGAGGTCTATACTTTTCTAACCAGGAGTTGAACTCCAGCTAACTAGATCCTGGAGAGCCAAGAGGCAAGGACGAGTGCTGGGGACGGGGGGAGTGCCAGGAGGGGCAGGGAAGAGGGCAAGGCAGCAGCCTGGTAGAAGGCAGACGGGGCTCAAGCTTGGTTCTGCCATCCATGATCTGTGCGACCTTTGGCCAGTGGATGGAGCCATCCCAACAGCTGCCCTGTCTGCCTCAGGAGTTGGGGCTCAAGGGAGATAGTGGGTGGGAGAACACCTTTCAAGCTGGGGAGGGCGGCACCCACACAAGGGGGGGGGGCAGGACATGCTCACCATCTCGCTTGAAGGCCTCATTGCTGAGGGCAGTGAATTCCTGGAACAGGGGTTTCAGTGGGATGCCCACGGCATTGTGCCAGCCCTCCCAGACGTACAGCAGCAGCCCGTAGTTTCGTGTGACAGACAGGACATGCATGAGGTCTGAGACGCAAAGGAGCAGAGTCAGTTAGAAGACTTCTGTGTCGAAGTCGGCGTCAGCCTTCATCAGAGCTCCCACGTTGGTCCTCTCCATTTCCACCCGCTTCCTCAACATCGCGATACCCCCAAAGCCAAGGGCGATCTATACGCTGGGTGGCATGAGGCTGGGAGCTCTCTGCAGCAAGCACCCAGCCAGGGTCATTGTCTCCAGGGAAATGCCCATCGAAGGTGGTTACACTAAGAGCACTTCCAAAGGCCGAAACCCGAACAGACCCTTCATGGCTCATTGGATGGAGCGGCTGACTCAGCCGGCCTGGGACATGGGGGTGGGGAGTGAGGGGAGAAGAGGAGGATATAATCAGAAGCTGGGAGGCATCTAGGGCCTAGGGAGGGCCCTTGGGGAGACTGAGAGCACCCATGAAAGGGAAAAACAACAAGAAGCAGTCAGGAGGAAGGCCAGTGGCAATGGGAGAGGCCAAAGCACAGAGGGGTGCGTGGATGGGGCTGGAGATTCTAGAAGTCAGTTTGCCAGGAAAAGCAGGGTGCAGGGCGATGGGAAGGGCTAGAGAGAGGCAGCAGCGACAGGGCTGTACCTGGGTCCAGGAACCAGCAGCTGTCATTCATGTTGGGGTAGCAGACCCTGGCAGAAGTGAAGACTCTGTTCATGTGGCTCTGCAGAGAGTTGTACTAGGGAGAGTTGAGAACATGTTAGTGACCAATAGCCCCAGGACCACTTGGCCGTCCCTCCTCTTTTTGCTAAAAGGAAATGAAGGCTCGGAGAGGGGATGTGGCTTGTTCAGACCACTCAGTGGCGCCAGGAGCACTTCTGACCAAGGAAGGCAGCCGCTGGAGGTGGAGACCAGTGTCCTGAGAGTTAGGGCTCGGCTCCCACCTCAAAGTGAGGATAAATCCCTCTCACTCTCGGTGGCTGTGATGCCTTCCCAGTCCCTGCTCTTTCTAAGGACATCTCTAAAGCAAACCTGCCTAGGGAGAAATTCTGAAAACGCTGGTTTCATCTTTTACAGTTTATTTGCAGTTTGCTTTTTACTCCATAATACTTGCTGTAGCATCAAGTAACATTCCGTCCCATCTCCAAGAAAAAGCAATGCTCCAGGAAGCCATTCTATGCTCTGGCTGGTTTCCCCTGCCGATCCCAGGGTCCGCTGACCGGGAGAAAGGCAGCCCGCCCAAGCTCCCCTCCCCATCTCAGTTGGGCACTGGGAGGCACCGGCCACTTCTTCCTCTACCCTCAAGT